GATCCCAGGACCCTGAGATCATGACCTGAGCCGAAGGCAGACGCTTAACCATCTGAGCCACCCAGGCGCCCAAACCTAAGGTTTTTTATGATTTATAGTACCAACTTGAAGTTTTAAAAATTTTATTGTTTCAAGAAGATCTGAAGTAATTCTTTAACAGGAAAAAAATATTTCTCCTATAAGATAGACCTACTAAATTCAGGATCAACTTACTAGAAAGTCAAAGCAATATGAAGATAGATATGCCAACCAGGTGTTGAAAACAGCTTGGTTTAAAAAAAAAAAAAATCATTTAGTAAAGGATCAATGTGTGGCCAAAAGCAGATATTTGTTATACACAAATGAGCTACTGTATTGCAGAGCTCTGCTCATTAGTGTACAGAGATGCATTACCCTCACATTAAATAAAGACTCAGTGAGCAAAACACTGTAGCAAGCATCTGTTGGCTAATGACAAAGAAAACGATGGACCCTTTGAGGCCAATTTCCATCCAGCTGTAAGCATGGAAGCAGCAAACGCATGCACTGCTTTTCAATATCACCCCCAAATAACCATGAAAAAGAAGCTCTTCGGCATTCATGTTACTCTGTGGCAAAAGCAATACAAGTATTAATTACGTATGCTAAACAAGATACTTAGAAAAAGTTAACCCTAAATAAGGAGAAGTCAAATATATAACTGCATTTTATTCTCATTCCACTTTTCTATCAATATCCATGGTCAGAATGGTCGAAAGAAGGCACTAAACAAAACTGTAAACTAGGCAAAGTTTGTCTTCTTATATCAGTTACTTTTTCCTGTCCCTGCTTTATTACCTTTTTTTCTCCCCACCCTATCCCCAATGTTCACATATTTCCCCCAGACCTCTGCTCTAATGTTCTCTGGGGCCTGCCTTGGCCTCCCTTGCCCCTGTGTTGAAATCTATCATACTTATATATAGTTCTCAGAATGTCATGTGACCTGGTAACAGCACCCACAAACATCTATAATTCCTTTAACTTGCTCCTCCCTCCCTAATGCTTTTATCTAACCTCAAGACCACACCCTCTCCTCCCTTCTCAGAAACCTTTTACATAGCCTTTATCTTTCCTATATATTCAACTTTCTCTCTTCACTAGTGTCTTTCTCTCAGTACATAAACATATTTAAGTCTCTATCTAAAAAGCAACAAAACCCTTAGCTTATTAAAAGGTAAATAAATGCTAGTATATGGAACTTACTCTATGGTGTCCTCCCCCTTATTCTCTGCCTTCCCCTCACCACATTCACTCCCCAGGCCACAGCAATGTGACCTCTGCTCACACCATTACATTAATCCAAGGGCTTTTCATCTAAAGGCTGGAGGGTCTGTGGATAGAACTCAGGAGACCTACGGACTTGGATGGGAAAATAAATTATTTCTTTATTTCCTCCAACCTCTAAAATTACTAATACTATATTTATTAAATTACTATAAGCCTGCCACTATACCTTGCAGTGTATCGTGTTAAAGAAACACGTAATACTTTATTACTATTAGTTTGGTAATAATACTTTAATATAAGGGTGCCTAGGTGGCTCAGGTCATGACTTCAGGGTCCTGGGATTGAGCCCTGTATCTAGCTTCCTGCTCAGCCGGGAGTCTGCTTCTCCCTCTTCCTCCCCTCCTCCCCCCAACTCGTGCTCTCTCGCTCTCTCTCAAATAAAAAAAAAAAAAAAAAAAACTTTAATATAATTGGCTTCCCTTGTAATTCTATGTATTTTATTTTATCCATCTGCAGCAGACTTTCCAAATATGCCACAAAAATACCTGCCACCCACACGCTCTTCTATGGTGTAAATTTGTGGCTCACCCACAAAGATGTGGAGTCTGATTCCCTTCTTATATCCAAGCTGGCATTTAACTTGCTTGTAACCAAAAGAGTGTGGTGAAGTGACAAGGAGTGACTTCCCAGGCTTGGTTAGGAAAAGTGATGCAGGTTCTGAGACTAGGTTTGGGGCGGTTTGCTAAACAGTGATAGTTTCCAGAACGGAATCTGGCACCTGGAACTGGAGTGCTGACATAATAAGAACATAAGACAGGTGACACCAGCTGTGGGATTGGGTAGTAGACACGAACAGGAAGGGCCACAAGGATCTCACAGCAAAAGCCTGATGAGCACTGAAGAGGCTACTGGAAAGGCCTTAAAGGAGAGGGAGTAAAACGTTATCAGAAGCTGGAGGAAAAAAGACCATCATGAAGGGGCAGAAAATTTAGCAAAACTGTTGCTTGTGATAAGTCAAAAAAGCAGAAAATGCTGGCAATGAACTGTTACTTCTAGCTAAGGTAATTTCCAAGCAGAATGTCCAAAGTGTCAACTGGTTTCTTTTACACATGTAACAGAAGGTGCAGCTGGAGAGATGAGCTAAAGAAAGTCTTCTGTTTTCAAACAGGATTCAGAGAAAATATAAAGAAACCAGCCATTGCTGGATTCAAAAATAAAACTATTTTTCATCTACAATCTCTCCCAGCAGAGAATGCTGGAAACAAAAAAAGGGGGACAAGATCAAATACAGGGTGCTGAAAGGAAAATCTGGTCTCTAGACAGAGATGAAACCAAGGGTGTTGCTATAAAATCCTTTAACACTCAGTTTCTCCTTCTCAATATCTTTCTCTCAGTGCCTTTCCCTGTACTTGTCTGCTAAAACTACATGTGCCCAGGGGTTCTGTCCTCAATCCTGAGCAATTTCTTCTTCAACCACTCCTGAAAAACTATTAACCTCAAAATCTCTCTCAAGACTCCACCTCTCTCCAAGAACTGCATACAAATCTGCACATCTCCACTTGAAATCTCAGAAAAACCTCAAACTAAATATTTTAAGAACCTATCTATCCCCCATCCCACAAGTTCTATTTGTTTATTTATTTATTTGCGGGGGGAGGGGCAGAGTCATCAAGTTCTATAGATTCTACCTGCCCCCACACACTATTTATTCTAACCATGTCAAAATATAAGACCCACCGTGGATATGAGTACATACTTTTCTATCTAGAATGCAACTCCTATTATAAATCCTAACTACTTTGCTATGTGCTAATTTAATTCAACAATATGGAACACCTATTCTATGGCAAACCTGGCAGGACCTATGCCAGGGCTAGGCAAACAAAACTGAGATAGAGAACCTGAAAGGACTCCGTTTTAGAAAGGCTCCCGGTCTGCTGTTTCTCTACCTGGCCCCATTTACTCATGCTCTATATCTCATCTTGCATCTGAGTAAACCAAAGCAGCTATGATCCCACTCCAAGGGGGAAGCAAGAAAGTTAACCATTCTCTGAGTTCTGTCCTAGGCCCCATACACCTGATAACATCTAAGAAGAGATCACGAGCATGTGTCAGGACAATGGCTTCAAACCTCAGTTGACGCTGGTGCTAATACCCCCTTACCTTCGGTGATTTATGGAATAACACCTACTGTTCACCTGACACTACTTTTGATCAGACCCTACCCTGGATTCCTGAAGGAACATGTACCATTGACCCCTTTCCAATATAAACCCCTAACCCCAAGCAGCGAGGAGACTCCCTTTTCCTTTTCTGAGGCTCCCAGAACCTCCATCTGCTGTACTCTATCACTTATGCTATTCAACAAACTCTGCTCTCACTTCCTCCTGGCTCGCGTTTGATTTCTACCCTGCGCTAAGCCAAGGACCTTCTTGGCTGGTCCTGCGAGACCCCCCTCTGGGACCTTGGACCAGCCTTCCTATGTCAAAATTAAGTGAGAAACAGGTCCTGCCTCTTCTCTGGAATCACAGGGATAAAAAGAAAAATAAGTACAACACTGGGGTTTATCATGAAAGGTAGTATTGTATGGCAGACTAATTCTTTTGTGGGGGTGGAGATACAGCAGGCAGTAAGCAAAACAACAGAATAAATGTAATACATTCTCTTGGAGGAGCAAGTTTATTTGATGTAAGTAACTTAACAAAAGATTTTAATATCAACATATTCATTATAAGCAGAATACAAAATTTACATGAAAGATGCAGTATAATACTTAAAAATTCATGGGTCGTTTTGAGCAAGAATAACTGTCTGTTATTAGAATTTAAAGTAACATTACTAAGCAGAAGGAGACCCACTTTAAGTCAGAGACCCTCTTAGAAGTAAGTCACCCCACCTAAAGGACCTTTTGGGTCCACCTATCCAAAAAGGCAACCAGGGCTGGGTGAACATTCAGTGAAACACCACTGGATGATCAAAAAGATTCTGTGGGACTCTTTGCTACAGCCAGCCTCCCTCTACACAGCCTCTGTGGAAGGCTTCGGACACAGCATGGAAGAAGTCTTGCAGATGACTGAGGAATCTTGAACAAACTCATTTTTTTGTCAGATTAAAGTCATCTGTAACTATGTAAAGGAAGTCTAAGAAAGCTAAGAAAAATTTTCTGCTGGCTCCAATTCCTGCCAAGATGCTGAATTAGCAACACTACTGACCCCATCTCAGGAGATCGGCCCTTGGGGAAGATACACAGAAAAACTGGAAAGAACGATGAGAAACACCTGGGGGCACAAGGACCCCTTTCCAACTGGTATGTGTGGAATGGTGGCTATGGCCTGCGGCACGAGGCAGCTCACCAAGGCTGTGGGATAACAAAACAGAAAAAGAACTACTGAGTTCTGGTTTTTGCTTTTCTTGTGCCCCAGCACCTACGTGCACACAATCTGGCCCCATATATGCATTACTCAGACCTCAGATCCTC